GGGGGGGGGGGGGGGGGGACTCTCCTTCGATTTCTGAAAAAAATCACACAATGGTCCCCACTTAAAATTAGAATTTTGAATGACTAAATCATAGTTTTAAATCGTACCAAATGGCATGGTTCAGCCTTTAAAATACCCAAAATTTTTCGGGGCCTTTTAGCGAGCCCCTAACCCCACGCCAGGGGGGGGGGGTTTCGCATCAGCGCCCCCTCCCTCCATCAAATAATCATGGATCCGCCCCTGGTAATATATAGGCTTATATTACTTTAAGTACTCGCACATTTCACAGACATACCATATGATATTAAAAGTGATAACATATTTACTGTATAGTATGTGATTTTTATAGCATGTCACTTAAAGACCCAAAGGGACTTATAGGATTTAAAAAGCTAAGTTTACAGCATGAACATATTTTTAAAAAGCATGTTATAGGAATTATACTTAAGTAAGATACATATTTCATAAATTATATATTATATATTATTTTATATATTATTATATTCTTGTAGGCCTAACCATAACTTTTTTGTGATAAAAATTTCACATTAGGCCCCTATGTAGCCTCTATTAGGCCTACCGACAACAAAACTGACCACAAACAGACAAACAAGCAGACCATTTGTAATTCACACAAAATACTCAGGATACAGCAGTGTTCATACCACAGCAAAATAATAATAATAATAATGATAATAAATACATGTTAATGAATAAGCAAAATAAAAATGTAGGCCTACTCCTACACTAAGGATTATTACATATATCACACACAAAACCTTTGCTGATATTTAAGCATTAATCGGAGAGCTTACAGCAAAAATGTTTACAATGAACAGACAATGGCTGGGGTGAAGCAGGTCGAAATGGCTACGGATTTTTTTTTTACACCAGCAATTAGATGGCAGCCTCTCGACAAACATGGAACGTTTTATAACGTTTCCATCACGTTTATAAAACAAAAAAAAAAACGCTATGGTAACGTTATGGTAACGTTCTGTGTTTGCTGGGCCCCTATTCAACATACTGAAATCCCAAAGAATAATATATATATATATATATATATATATATATATATATATATATATATATATATATATATATATATAACTCAGAACGTTACAAAAAACACGAGAAGACTTATGAACCAATCAACTGATTAATTGGTTAATTACACGGCACTGGTGGAATCCTATGATCATTTGCGTGTCATGTATGTCAATGACATAAAATTACATTGCGCGGACTGCCATCCACCTACTGGCTCTGCTGACGAAGTTTAGCTGTCAACTGCCGCACCTCATCTCGCAAAACTTCGTTCTCGTCCAAGTTATCCATACGTGGGCGTGTCGCTCGATCCTGTTTTAAAAAAAATTACAGTAGCATCAAATATAAAACAAGTTAAACATTGAACATATCCATACATGTAATTAATTTGGTAAGTATAAGTACAATATATTATATTCAATAAAAATGGCAAATCTACAATGCGTTTAGAAATGTGTATTTACATGCAATGTGAGGAATTACTTATTCGAATATAAATAGCTGAATACCCAGGTTGTTGCACATGGTGTGTACATGTACTTCGCAGTGGTCAGGGTTCTACAGAGAGCTTCAAATTCATCGGGGGACATATCTGCAATGTTCATCACCATCTCACCATAATACTCCATTGCCGCACCTGTTACGGACAAAATTCAGTAGATATTGAAAATAGTAAGATGCAAAAACGGATCAATCATAAGACCAATTTATTAACACCATTTTAGATACTCTCTTAGTCGTTTTAGTACATGACAACAGCACCCATCAGTGGGGCAGTCATACGCAAATGGATAGACAGGTATTGTACTTCAATTTACTCCCAACTTCTCTACATGTATACTTGACAATTATATATTCTATTTCATCGGGTCACGAAAAAACACATAGAAAAACTCAAATCCTTTGCATAATCATACATTCTTGCATAGGGATATTTTTTCTCACCCCTTATATTTTCTATTTAGCTCTAATTTTACAGTTTTATTTTCGACAGTTGTTGCATTGAGATTTTGGAATAAGATGAAAGCGCTTTATACAGTATATCGCAATAAAAAGTTAATATAACAGGATTACTTACTGGAAAGCCGCAGAAGGTTTGCAGCCTGAAGTCCATCCCTTATATCTTTCAAAGTAGTATAATTGTTCTCGGCGATCCAATCTTTCACTACTTGAATTTTTTGGAATTTTTCAGGAAAGTTCGAGTTAAAGTTGGTCAGGTTAAAGTTGTCGCATTCCGCGTGGTCTAATATTTCAGCAAGGTGCTCCAGTGTCCTGGTTTGAATATACATCTGCAAAGATGGAATCAATAAAGCTTATGTGTAGGAGCTGGCACAAGGCAAAATACCTTGGCATAACCATTCCTAAGAACTGTGCGGTTATGCTAAAGTATTTTAAACCCAAAGGACTATATTGTTGAGCTATAAGCCTTGATAATTTATTAAAATAGTTCATGTTAAATAGTATTTTTGAATAACGAAACACGTGAGGTTTAAAGACAAAAATACATGTGAATGGGAATCGAAAATTAATTGCCCAATTCCCCGTTATGATACAACTGTATGTCTTTACTATTGAAACTCCATATATCATAAGCCAATATGCGTTAACCACTTCCACACATCTACACACACTGGACAATAGAAGTGTCACCCCCTGAATCAGAGTAATCAAAGTTATTAACCTGAAGAGGCGAAATATAAGCAATGTCAGAATATCGATACAGTTGAATTGTTCAATCAGAACCGTTTCTTTTGTGAAATTTGATGTTAATAAAATGATACCAGGAGCATATCATTCCACAGTCATTTATCTCCCCCAAAGTATTCGTTTAGTAGGGGTGAAACTTCTATTGTCTAGTGTGTGTACATACATGTACATGTATACCTGTATATCTGGTATTTCAAAACGCTTCAGCAGTTCTGCAACGGCAGTGTGTTCTTTCTCTTCTGCCATCATTCTTGATGTCTTTTGTTTCTGTGGAATCAGAAAAAAATCATTATATGGGATAGCAATTTTAGCATTCATATACACGTTTCAAGTCAGAGCTACATATCTGTAGTTGGATAACTACATGTTGTATTCATACATTTGTATCTCCTACAAACGTTTGTTTCCACATGGGCTTTAGAATAATGGAGATAACTAAAACAAATAATCGGTCAAGCACCTTTCGTGCTATGTCCAAACGTGTGTGTGTGTGTGTATGTGTGTGCGTGTTTATATATACCGCTGTGTTCAGATATTTTCACTTACTTCAGCCTGGATACTGGTATCTGCTCCATGTTGGAGGAGAAGCTGGACAAATTGTTTGCGGTCGCACCACGCAGCGACGTGAAGTGGTGTCTCACCATACTGGGATAAATATTATTTAACACAGACGTAAAAACACGTTATTCTCCTACAGACTTTTGGATAATCAGTCACAACATATTTATAATAAATAGTTACTGTATCAATATTTGCAAAATAATACATCTATCATAAAATTACTCACAGAGCAAGCAACTTGCAATATGGCAAAATTAGTTTTTAAAACCAAATAAATTAATAAAATTAAAGGGTACAAAAATGCGAGCCATTTTATATACGATACGCCATGTTTCAAACTTTGACATAAGAACTCTCATTACAAAAATAATATAAATAATATATATATAAAATTATCATAAAAGGAGAGTGGAAGATGACCATGGACAGGGCCGGTGTAGGTGGAGACGGATAATCCGCTGCGGAGACCCCTTAGCAAGAAATGAAATACTGGACTGGGAAGGGTGGCCGGGGTAGACATGGTTTAACGTGACAGAGAGTCCCGCATGATGGAGAGTGCGCTTCCCATTCATTTGAACAGGTAAGCCTCGCTCTAGATTATGATCCAATTAGACCATGCTAACCCTAACCACTATAACTAAATGGAGAGCGGATTTTCTGTTACACAGACCCTCAACTTCGTTACACCGGACCTGCAGAGAGACTGATAAGCTAAAACAAATGTCAAAATTGACTCCCTCCCTCTCTAGTATCATTAAAAACGTAAATAACACGCCCTTTGCAAACTTCCCGCAGACTTCATTTGCATGATAAATAATAGGGATCTACACTCACCTCATCCTGTATATTGGTAACCGCCCCGTGTTGGAGAAGAAGCTCGGCACATTGTATGTGGCCGTAAAAGGTAGCCTCGTGAAGTGGTGTCCATCCACCCTGGGATATGTACAAGGAATGTGATTAACAAAGATAATTCGAATGTTGGATAAACATGCACTGGTAAATACCAAATATATAAAGTCTCACAGCAAGTTTTATGAAGCATAAGACTTAAATTAAATAAAAAAACATCTGAACGGTACCGTATTAATGATAATTTTGTTTTGTTTTTTTTTTTAATGAAGGTTGTAGACTATTTACAACCCAGTAGTTCAAATAATTATTTCAAGCCGATAATTCTACACAAAAAGTTATAACATTGAACTAAATGCACCCTTGCTTGTACTGTAAACATATCCATTTTTAAAACATAGCAGCTGCACTACTGGAGACATAACACCAAGGTATATCACACGCTATTATTCATGCTAAATTATTAGCTTATGAGAATTAAAACACAGCATATGTCATTTGATTGATTTACGCTTCAAGTGGATTTGGTCTTTCACATTTGTAGATATGTACATAACTGTGAAAATTGTAAGATATTAGTGGTTTTTATGGAAATAGTTCATTATAGTTAAAGCATGTAATGCCTTGAGCATGTCGCTTTGTACTTAAACATAAAGAACTAAATTATGATCTCTGAAAGTGATAAATACAGCGATGTCCTGATGCATACGGGATTCTAGCTTAACTATCCTGTACATAATACCTGACCCGTTCTGTGAATGATGTGAGGGAATTGTTCATAGCAACTATTATTTTACTCATAAAAATCCAGTGGGGTAGGCTACTAAGGGAGGGAAATAAAGTGAGGCATTAGATTACTCAAAATAAGGTAAGGCTTGTATTCACGAACTAAACCAATACTTCTAGCCTGTAATGTAACGTATAAACCAAAATACTGGAAATAGTACAACTACAGAGAGGGTGATTAACGTTGTTACCAAGCCTTTGCCATTGACGTTACACTGTCCGGTAGTTAACCGTTCCTGTAACCTCTCTTTAGCTCTAGCAGCGTCTTCAACCTCACAGGACATAGTGTTACCCATGCTGGTTGGTGACTACTATACACACTCCAATGGAAAGTGCAATGCAGTCTTAACTTCAGGTTCTGAAATAATATACAGTAACATTACAAATATATATATATATATATATATATATATATATATATATATATATATATCGACACCCCAGTAAAGAATGAGTTATACGTCATTCGTTCATATTTGGAACAGTAGATATATCGCTTAGAAAAATGATAAAATATCAGGTTAACTCACGAGTGGGAAACAACCCGTAGAGGAACAAATGGCGACTTCTATTATTTGAGGTTAAGCGGGGAATTTTAAGAAAATACCCTTTTTATTGACGCGGGGAATTTTAAGAAAATGCCCTTTTTATTGCCGTTGATCTCTTTGTTGTGTCCTCCCCCTGCTCCACCATTGGTGCACTTCAATTTATCTTAATCAATATCCTGATTCAGTTTTATTATAACCTGCGTAAATTAATCCCAACAGTTAAAATTGCCATTCAAATTCTTTCAAATTGGGTACTTACGAAATATTTTTCTAACGACACATTCCCGAAACCAATGTACAAGTAAAATTCCCCCGATCTATATTTACGTGTAAAATTCTGCAATGTCGTGCGGAAAGTTTTTACCCTAAATGTCAACATTTCAAGTACATATCAGTTACGACTAGTTGTATGCCATCCGTTGACACTGATGTGGTTGACATCACATCCCAAAAATCGATAAATTATCACGTTAACTTACCAGCTGGAAACGAAGTAATTTCGTCTTCCTGCACGGTGGGAATTATATCTGTATTTTGGCGACTCAACAATTAGAGAAAACGACGGAATTTTTTTAGGGGATTTCCCTAGTCTTACGTCGTCATTATATACGTTTATTTACGAATGGATCATGTAAAAGGGAAAAAGGATTTTTTTGTGCAATTTCTTATAAGCATGTCAATAATCTGGACAAATACCAAATTAAACATATTGATATACATGTAGGGATAAAATGGCGGAATGAGGGGACACAATGGGCCCCCCACACATTTTCAACGCCAAATGAACTCTTTCCTGTTTCTACTCGTACCAGTGTAACAAGCAAGCCAAGCGGTATAACAGGAAAACACCTTTCTATACGTGTATATCTTTACCTTTTGTAAAGTAATAGAATTGGCCTAGTCTGTTTTTCTATACTTGCCCAGAGAAGCGAGTGAATCACTTTTTATTCTAGGTTGCTCCACATTGACGTAAATATGTCAACACAGTAGTACACTAAATACTCAGTCAACAAAATACTTGACAATGCTTACGACATATTTTTACACAGCGTCGCCAAACACAGCGCTCTTTAAAGAAATACTGCCTTCTCTGACAGCCTTCTCAAAGGCAAATCGCGTTACGTTTTTTTATCCGTATCTTTGACAAAGCGTTAGATAAAGGTAACATGTATATATCGATGCGTATGAAACACCGTATGAAAATGCAACAAGAATGTGCGACGTACAAACATACTTGCGTGAATGTAGGACGTAGCACGTACATGTATTATATGGACAATTTTTACAAATCGTTTGTAGACAACTGCTATTTTTCGTCCAGTTTCTCTTTTTGCACACAGTTACAATTGCGTGTTGGCTCAGTCGAACTCAGTACAACAAAAATGAAAAAAATTTGGTAACGTATGTATCTACAAGTTGTTTGAGGAAAACTTTTATTGTTGACATAATATTACCTTTAATTTAGGTTTATTCACATTATTTCAAAAATTCCCATTTTTTTCAGCCAAATAAAAAATGAATAAACTCTCGTAATAGAGGGTTATTTATCGATCGGTATTGTTCAATATTCTAGGCTGAGGCACGCTCTATCCACTGGCTTGGGTTTCTTCTAACATTCACAAATTTTCATTATAAAAATGTCCGTCAATGATTAAATGGAGATAGAACCATTTTTAACATTTCGATGAACGTTAATCTAAATAGTCAACGTTTTTATCTCTTGTGCTGCAACCCAAGCACCTATTGTATATTTTTGGCTTTGTTTGGTTTGCACACAAAAGTATGCCATTTATTAGACAAAATTGATATTTCAACTTTCTTTCTTTGGGGAACGCCCCCAAATTCCCACCGCGGAGAGAAGGGGNTGCCTGCCTACTGAGTAGTGGGGAGGGGGGGGGAGGACTCCCCTTCGATTTCTGAAAAAAAATCACACAAATGGTCCCCACTTGAAATTAGAATTTTGACTAACTAAATCATAGTTTTAAACCGTACCAAATGGCACGGGGGGGGGGGGGGGGGGTCGCATAAGCGCCCCCTCCCTCCTTCAAATAATCCTGGATCCGCCCCTGGTAATATATAGGGACTTACTTTAAGTAGTCGCACATTTCACAGACATACCATGATATTTAAAGTGATAACTGTTAAACATATTTACTGTATAGTAGGTGATTTTTATAGCATGTCACTTAAAGACCAAAAGGGACTTATAGGATTTAAAAAGCTAAGTTTACAGCATGAACATATCTTTAAAAAGCATGTAATAGAAATTATACTTAAGTAAGATACATATATTTATAAAGCGTTTTCCAGTAGTCATTGAATGTATATTTATTCTTGTAACCATAACTCATTTTTGTGATAAAAATTTCACATTATGTATCCTCTATTACCGACATCAAAACTGACCACAAACAGACAAACAAGCAGGCCTTTTGTAATTCACACAAAATACCCAGTATACAGCAGTGGTCATATTACAGCAAAATAATAATAATAATAATAAATAGGCCTACATGTTAATGAATAAGCAAAATAAAAATGTACTCCTACACTAAGGATGATTACATATATCACACACAAAACCTTTGCTGATATTCAAGCATTAATCGGAGAGCTTACAGCAAAAAATGGGGTGAAGCAGGTCGAAACGGCTACAGAATTTATTTTAGACCAGCAATTAGATGACAGCCTCCCGACAAACACGGAACGTTTTATAACGTTTCCATCACGTTTATAAAACGAAAAAACGCTATGGTAACGTTATGGTAACGTTCTGTGTTTGCTGGGCCCCTATTCAACATACTGAAATCCCAAAGAATCATATACTGAAATCCCAAAGAATCATATATATATATATATATATATATATATATATATATATATATATATATATATATATATATATATAACTCAGAACGTGAGAAAAAACACGAGAAGACTTATGAACCAATCAACTGATTAATTGGTTAAATACACGGCACTCTGGTGGAATCCTATGATCATTTGCGTCTCATGTATGTCAATGACATAAAATTACATTGCGCGGACTGCAATCCACCTACTGGCTCTGCTGACGAAGTTTAGCTGTCAACTGCCGCACCTCATCTCGCAAAACTTCGTTCTCGTCCAAGTTATCCATACGTGGGCGTGTCGCTCGATCCTGTTTTAAAAAAAATTACAGTAGCATCAAATATAAAACAAGTTAAACATTGAACATATCCATACATGTAATTAATTTGGTAAGTATAAATACAATATATTATATTCAATAAAAATGGCAAATCTACAATGCGTTTAGAAATGTGTATTTACATGCAATGTGAGGAATTACTTATTCGAATATAAATAGCTGAATACCCAGGTTGTTGCACATGGTGTGTACATGTACTTCGCAGTGGTCAGGGTTCTACAGAGAGCTTCAAATTCATCGGGGGACATGTCTGCAATGTTCATCACCATCTCAGCATAATACTCCATTGCCGCACCTGTAACGGACAAAATTCAGTAGATCTTGAAAATAGTAAGATGCAAAAACGGATCAATCATAAGACCAAATTTATTAACACCAGTTTAGATCCTCTCTTAGTCGTTTTAGTACATGACAACAGCACCCATCAGTGGGGCAGTCATACGCAAATGGATAGACAGGTATTGTACTTCAATTTACTCCCAACTTCTCAACATGTTGACAATTATATATTCTATTTCATCGGGTCACGAAAAACACATAGAAAAACTCAAATCCTTTGCATAATCATACATTCTTGCATAGGGATATTTTTTCTCACCCCTTATATTTTCTATTTAGCTCTAATTTTACAGTTTTATTCTCGACAGTTGTTGCATTGAGATTTTGGAATAAGATGAAAGCGCTTTATACAGTATATCGCAATAAAAAGTTAATATAACAGGATTACTGACTGGAAAGCCGCAGAAGGCTTGCAGCCTGAAGTCCATCCCTTATATCTTTCAAAGTAGTATAATTGTTCTCGGCGATCCAATCTTTCACTACTTGAATTTTTTGGAATTTTTCAGGAAAGTTCGAGTTCAAGTTGGTCAGGTTAAAGTTGCGGCATTCCGCGAGGTCTAATATTTCAGCAACGTGCTCCAAAGTCCTGGTTTGAATATACATCTGCAAAGATGGAATCAATAAAGCTAGGAGCTGGCACAAGGCAAAATACCTTGGCATAACCATTCCTAAGAACTGTGCGGTTATGCTAAAGTGTTTTAAACCCAAAGGACTATATTGTTGGGCTATAAGCCTTAATAATTTATTAAAATAGTTCATGTGCCAAATAATATTTAAATAGCATTTTTGAATAATGAAACACGTGAGGTTTAAAGACAAAAATACATGTGAATGGGAATCAAAGGTTAATTGCCTAATTCCCCGTTATGATACAACTGTATGTCTTTACTATTGAAACTCCATATATCATAAGTCAATATGCGTTAACCACTTCCACACATCTACATGTACATACATGTTTACCTGTATATCTGGTATTTCAAAACGCCTCAGTAGTTCTGCAACGGCAGTGTGTTCTTTCTCTTCTGCCATCATTCTTGATGTCTTTTGTTTCTGTGGAATCAGAAAAAAATCATTACAAGCTATATGGTTTAGCAATTTTAGCATTCATATACACGTTTCAAGTCAGAGCTACATATCTGTAGTTGGATAACTACACACACTGGACATTAGAAGTGTCACCCCCTGAATCAGAGTAATCAAAGTTATTAACCTGAAGAGGCAGAATATAAGCAATGTCAGAATATCGATACAGTTGAATTGTTCGGTCAGAACCATTTCTTTTGTGAAATTTGATGTTAATAAAATGATACCAGGAGCATATCATTCCACAGTCATTTATCTCCCCCAAAGTATTCGTTTAGTAGGGGTGACACTTCTATTGTCCAGTGTGTGTACATGTTGTATTCATACATTTGTATCTCCTACAAACGTTTGTTTCCACATGGGCTTTAGAATAATGGAGATAACTTAAACAAATAATCGGTCAAGCACCTTTCGTGTGTGTGTGTGTGTATATGTGTGTGCGTGTTTATAAATACCGCTGTGTTCAGGCATTTTCACTTACTTCAGCCTGGATACTGGTATCTGCTCCATGTTGGAGGAGAAGCTGGGCAAATTGTTTGCGGTCACACCACGCAGCGACGTGAAGTGGTGTCTCACCATTCTGGGATAAATATGATTTAACACAGACGTAGAAACACTCTATTCTCCTACAGACTTTTGGATAATCAGTCACAACATATATATATATATATATATATATATATATATATATATATATATATATATATATATAATAAATAGCTACTCTATAAATATTTACAAAATAATAAATCTATCATAAAATTACTCACATAGCAAGCAACTTGCAATATGGCAAAATTAGTTTTTAAAACCAAATAAATTCATAAAATTAAAGGGTACAAAAATACGAGCCATTTGATATACGATACGTTGTGTTTCAAACTTTGACATAAGAACTCTTATTACAATAATAATATGAATAATACATATAAAAACAGTATCATAAAAGGAGAGTGGAAGATGACCATGGGCAGGGCCGGTAATGGTGGAGGCGGATAATCCGCAGTGGAGACCCCTTAGCAAGAAATGAAAGACTGAAGTGGGAAGGGTGGCCGGGGTAGACATGGTTTAACGTGACAGAGAGTCCTGCATGATGGAGAGTCCGCTTCCCATTCATTTGAACAGGTAAGCCTCGCTCTAGATTTTGGTCCAATTAGACCATGCTAACCCTAACCACTATAACTAAATGGAGAGCGGTTTTTCTGGTACACAGACCCTCAACTGCGTTACACCGGACCTGCAGAGAGACTGATAAAGGTCCAGTCACAAATCAGTTGCGATGCGTCGGGGATGGGTAAAACCCGGGAAATTTTAACAAAATCTTGAGACAGATCTCACGATTTTGCACCCGTCGGAGGCGCTCTCCGGACGCCTGCGGGTTGTCGCAGATTTTTTAGACATCGCCACACCCGTCGCGGTCCCCAACTTTGAACTTAAAATTCTAAGATTGCTCGCAAGATTTTTCACCCATTTTGGGCATCCCAGACACAATCTCCGATGACCTACGATGCCCTCCGATTAATCGGAGGCGTCCTCCGAATATATACCCATATATAACCACATATACCCAGGGGGAAAAATTACGAGAAAAGACGCTCGCAGATATCGGTTCCGATCGCCTCCGATGCAATCGCAGGCTAATCCCACGATTTTTCGACAAAACCGGGTCAAAATCCTTGAAAAAATTTCAGACAATGCGACTGCTCCACTTTTATTAGGATTATTGCTAGGATTGTTCAAGGATTCTTTATTTTCTACGACGACCCCCGCCCAAAACTAATCCCCGACAAATCGCCGACATTGTGACTGGGCCTTAAAGCTAAAACAAATGGCAAAATTGACTCCCTCCCTCTCTAGCATCATTAAAAACATGTAAATCTACCTTTGGCGCTCCAATTGGTAACGTAATAACACGCCCTTTGCAAACTTCCCGCAGACTTCATTTGCATGATAAATAATAGGGATCTACACTGACCTCATCCTGTATATTGGTAACCGCCCCGCGTTGGAGAAGAAGCTCGGCACATTGTATGTAGCCGTAAAAGGTAGCCTCGTGAAGTGGTGTCCATCCACCCTGGGATATGTACAAAGAATGTGATTAACATTTTAGATAATTCGAATGTTGGATAAACTTGCACCGGTAAATACCAAATATATTAAGTCTCACAGCAAGTTTTATTAAGCATAAGACTTAAATTAAATTTAAAAAAAAACATCTGAACGATACCGTATTTTAAAGCAATAATAACTCTTCGTTTCGGCCAAAAAATGAATTTTCCTGGAGTAAACAACAATTTTTCCATACTTACCAATGGTTATTGAATCCATTTTTACATTCAAAGTTAGTCCCTGGTTTTTTTCTAAAAAGTTTGTTTTTTTGTTAAAATCTCTTAAGAGATTTTAACAGAGTATAGACATCAATGGAGGTCACGTGGTCTAAAGACAAGTTCAAATATCAGAATAAAAGCTATAACTGCTGTTTTTGTGGTAAAACAGAATATATTATATTTCTATGAGTTATTCACAAGGTTTTTATCGTGAAATATAGGTCTCATACGAAGAGTTATTATCCCTTTAATAATAATTAAAATGATAATGGAGGTTGTAGACTATTTACAACCCGGTACAGTAGTTTAAATAATTATTTTAAGTCGATAATTCTACACAAAAAGTGCACCAAATGCACCCTTGCTTGTACTACATGAACATATCCATTTTTTAAAACATAGCAGCTGAACTACTGGAAACATAACACCAAGGTCTATCACACGCTATTATTCATGCTAAATTATTTGCTTATGAGAATTAAAACACAGCAAATGTCATTTGATTGATTTATGCTACAAGTGGAGTTGGTCTTTAACATTTGTAGATATGTACATAACTGTGAAAATTGTAAAATATTAGTGGGTTTTATGGAAATAGTTCATTATAGTTAAAGCATGTAATGCCTTGAGCATGTCGCTTTGTACTTAAACATATAGAACTAAATTATGATCTCTGAAAGTGATAAATACAGCGATGTCCTGATGCATACGGGTATTCACGAATTAAACCAATATTTCTAGACTGTGGTGTAACGGTTAAAGCAAAATACTGGAAATAGTGCAACTACAGAGAGAGTGATTAACGTTGTTACCAAGCCTTTGCCATTGACGTTACACTGTCCGGAAGATAACCGTTCCTGTAACCTCTCTTTAGCTCTAGCATCGTCTTCAACCTCGCAGGACATAGTGTTACCCATGCTGGTTGGTGACTACTACACAGATTCCAATGGAAAGTGCAATGCAGTCTTAACTTCAGGTTCTGAAATAATATGCAGTAACATTACAAAAAATTATATATATATATATATATATATATATATATATATATATATATATATATCAGGACGAACCACTTGTCCATCCTTATATACACTCACTGGTTTGTCTTATGGGGGTAAAACTGCCATGGTTAACAAGAGAAGCAGTGTGGCTAATACTTACAAATACCATAGCAAAATTTAGTATTTGATGAAAATTTTGCAAATATTTAAAAAGAATTAGCTTAAATTATCATATGGCTGCACAGTTTCCTCATGGCGTGCTCATGTTTGTGTGCGTACTTGTGTTTGACATATCCTGTCTGCAATGGTTTATAAACCAGCGTTTTTTTTAAAGAGATAACATAAGATCTCAAAAAAGTAAACATTTTCTTCTGGACCAGGCGTGGGTCTTCACTGAAAATCATGTCCTGACACTAGAGTGTGTCCCGGCCGATGTTAATTGGGTTATTCATTCTACATTTCAATCATTACTACAAATACATTTACAAAGGAGGATTTAATGAGCAGAAATATACATTGTAAAAGAAAGACATCATAGTAAGAAAAGTATATGCACGTAAAAGAAGTATTATTTAAATTCTCCATATGGTTTAATGTAGTCCCTCTTCTGTATTTTTCATTTGCGTGCACGGATTGGCAAAGTGCTTCTATTTATTTCGCTCGTTATCCAAGTACGTTTTCAGGGGTGCAGGAAGGGCGTGGAAAAAAGGTGGTTCCTACCCGTCGTGCCCTCCCCTACCCCACCATTGGCACACTTCAATTAATCTTAATTAATTTTCTGATTCAGTTTGATAATTGTTATGGTTAAGGGACATACATGCATAAATCCTATCAGCTAAATAATCGGTATATATAACAGTAGATATATCGCTTACAAAAATGATAAAATATCAGGTTAACTCACCAGTTGGAAACAACCTGTACAGGTACAAATGGCGACTTCTATTATTTAGAGGTGACGCGGGGAATTTTAAGAAAATACCCTTTTTATTGACGTTGATCTACTTGTTGCGTCCTCCCCCTGCTCCACCGTTGGTGCACTTCAATTTATCTTAATCAATATCCTGATTCAGTTTTATTATAACCTGCGTAAATTAATCCCAATAGTTAAGATTGTCATTCAAATTCTTTCAAATTGGGTATTTACGAAATATTCTTCTAACGACACATTCCCGAAACCAATGTACAAGTAAAATTCCCCAGATCGATATTTACGTGTAAATTCTGCAATTTTTATGTTGTTGTGCGGAAAGTTTTTACCCTAAATGTCAACATTTCAAGTACATATCAGTGACGACTAGTTGTATGTCATCCGTTGACACTGATGTGGTTGACAGCACATCCCAAAAGTTGATAAATTATCACGTTAACTTACCAGCTGGAAACGAAGTAATTTCGTCCTCCTGCACGGTGAGAATTAAATCTGTATAGGGCCTACTGGCGACTCAATTATTATAGATAAAGGGGAATTTTTAGGGGAATCCCAAGGCGTACGGCGTCATTATTTACGTTTATTAACGAATGGGTCACGTAAAGGGGGGGGGGGGGGGGAGGGATGTTTTCTTTTATTTGTGTGCAATTTCTTACAAGCATGTCAATAATCTGGACAAATACCAAATTAAACATATTGATATACATGTAGGGACACAATGGGTACACATGGCCAAATTAACCCCTTTCCTGTTTCTACTCGTACCATGGTACTATATGTATAACAAGCAAGCCAAGCGGTACAACAGAAAAACACCTTTCTATACGTGTATATCTTTACCTTTTAGTAAAACTATAGAATTGACCTAGTCTGTTTTTCTATACTTGCCCAGAGAAGCGAGTGAAGCACTTTTTATTCTAGGTTGCTCCACATTGACGTAAATATGTCAACATAGTAGTACACTTAATACTCAGTCAACAAAATACTTGACAATGCTTACGACATATTTTTACACAGCGTCGCCAAACACAGCGCTCTTTAAAGAAATACTGCTTTCTCTGACAGCCTTCTCAAAGGCAAATCGCGTTACGTTTTTTTTATCCGTATCTTTGACAAAGCGTTAGATAAAGGTAACATGTATATATCGATGCGTATGAAACACCGTATGAAAATGCAACAAGAATGTGCGACGTACAAACATACTTGCGTGAATGTAGGACGTAGCAAGCACATGTATTATATGGACAATTTTTACAAATCGTTTGAAGACAACTGCTATTTTTCGTCCAGTTTCTCTTTTTGCACAGTTACAATTGCGTGTTGGCTCAGTCGAACTCAGTACAACAAAAATGAAAAAAATTTGGTAACGTATGTATCTACAAGTTGTTTGAGGAAAACTTTTATTGTTGACATAATATTACCTTTAATTTAGGTTTATTCACATTATTTCAAAAATTCTCATTTTTTTCAGCCAAATAAAAATTGAATAAACTCTCGTAAATTTATCGATCGGTATTGTTCAATATTCTAGGCTGAGGCACGCTCTATCCACTGGCTTGGGTTTCTTCTAACATTCACAAATTTTCATTATAAAAATGTCCGTCAATGATTAAATGGAGATAGAACCATTTTTAACATTTCGATGAACGTTAATCTAAATAGTCAACGTTTTTATCTCTTGTGCTGCAACCCAAGCACCTATTGTATATTTTTGGCTTTGTTTGGTTTGCACACAAAAGTATGCCATTTATTAGACAAAATTGATATTTCAACTTTCTTTCTTTGGGGAACGCCCCCAAATTCCCACCACGGAGAGAAGGGGCGACCACCATCAGCAGCAGCAGAGCGGATCCAGGATTATTTGAAGGGGGGTCCGTGAATGCGAAGCCACCCCCTCCCCTTGGCGAGGGATTCGGGGCACGCTGAAGGTCCCCGAAAAAAATTGGGTAGAGGGCGAACGGTGCTATCTGGTACGGTCAAAATTCAAATTTCAAGAGGGACCATTGGTGTGATTTTTTTAGAAATCGAAGGGGGGGGGGGGCAGGACCATTTTCCAATATATCATTTCGGGAAAAGTTGTTAAAATGGCCATGTAATCGTTATCGTCTCCTTTGGAAATCATACAAAACTGACATTCTACATACTAATTGAAAATGTCTTTCCACGAACCTCTGTCTTTTAAAGCCTACATAATACTTAGAAAGAATGGTACTAAAGTAAAAAAAAACATGTGTGACCAATACAACTTCGCTCGGAATGACAATGCTAGCCACCAGTTACGTAGAAAGGACCCGTTTGTCCTGTCCATATTTAACTATTTCTACTTCATTATATAAAACACTGTGGGTTTTAAGATATAGACAGAGTCATAAAAACGCTTTATTCGATTATGGTTTTTAAAAGTAGTTTTTGTATTTAAGTAATATATTTTAACAACAAGTGGACTTCAGTTGTATGAAAAATGTACTGCTAATATTTTGACAGTGAACATATGTGAGCAGTTTTAGCCATTACTCACACTTGGGCAAAATCTGTTGTTATTTGCATAACAATAGATTTCCGGTCGTCGTGCGAGCTGAATACTCACTCTGCAGTTGGGCACAGTTGAGTGAAGACGCAACATTATGTGTGGTGAATTTTATAAGACGTAGAAGCAAGCATATGGTAAGTAGCACTAATTCTTCAATAACCTCTCTCAATAAAATACAAGTGCACCGAATGAGAGAAAATTTATTGTAGATATTAGTAGCGTGATTTGTTGTACTATTATGCACACATCGTTACTTTTATGCCACTCACAATGTCAGAATATGTTGGTAACAATGCCTTGGCCTGGTATTACAAACGTACAGGAGAAATGGTGCTATCAGCTGACCATTGATGAAACAATAGGTTTGCTTGAAATCTTTCAAACTAACTGAATTTAGTTCTGCACGTGTGAATTTTTGTATGACCCCTGGCAATTGTAAGCGCATTTGTGACTCAATTTAAAATGTTTTCGTGTAAATATAAACACAACTGCGCAAGAAAGACTGATTCATTTAGATACCGTTACTTGTCATAGTGCTGAATTTTGGATACAGGAAGTCTGCCCTATCAAGGTGTACATCAATTTTAAAGTCAAATTTAATAACAATTTCAAACGTAGCTTTTAAAGACAATTTCTATGGTTTTCAGCGATTTCTTTTGGGTATATTTACTGATTTACTGATATAGATTGATCATTTCACATGGAAAGAATTAGAAAATTTTAAAATACATCATTTTATCATTATTATTATTACTACAAGAATAAGGTATCATATAGCTATTAAAGTTCTCTAACTTGTTTCAGATTTACACTTGGACAACCCATTTATGCTGTCAAAGATCTTTTTGTAAGGTAAGTGTTTTTACTATAATACAACACACACGTTAACGCACATGAAAATTGCTCATAAAGCGATATTTTAAAGATGAAAATTTTACGCAGGTTGACTACCGTCTCCAGTGTGCATTCTGTCCCTCCATTACACGACTAACTACATGTATTTTTAAAACTTGATTGTACTTTAATCCAAGTTATGTGTAGTTTATTACATATATTCTTAAAAGAAAATGTTCAAGTAAGATGTTTTGCGCTTCTCTAGAATAAGTCAAAATGATCTGTCTGTCAGTTGAATCAAAATTTCCATGTGTTATTTTGTCATTTCAGAGGCCCAGGGAGAAACTGTGCAACATGAGCCTCCAAGCAACAAGGTCTTTGGTTGACATATATCATGCTCAATTTTATGTATATCTTATATCAAATCCGAATAAATATTTTTGTAATTCCTCGTTATTTTTTATATTGATATAGAATACACAGCACAGCAATATTAAAATGGGAATGGGAAAAGATTACTGTTTATGTGATAACTATTTCAAGTTCAATCTGGAAATATTATGCAATTTTCTTTTGGGAATGACGGTTTTCTATAAAAACCTGCGATATTTATTGAAAAATTGAAAATTGAAATGGTTTAAATCTTTATAATTATGCACAGTATTTTGTAAATATGAAATTGGACATTAAAGGTTTAATCCGCTGAAAGAACATCTAAATTTCAATATAAAGTATAAATTTACAATCTTCCAAGATATAAGATTTAAATTTGTTTGTAGCAACATGCATGTCACCCCTCAAATGAAATGGGGTCATCCCACCCTATTCCTCTAAAATGGAATGGAATTGCCCCACCTGCCACCCCTCAAATTGAATGAACTTGCCCCACCTGCCACCCCTGAAATGGAATGGAATCGCCCCACCTGCCACCC